GACCATTTTCTCCCCCCCGTCCTAGTGTAGAGGACAAATCAACTATTTATCAGCACCCACAGTGAAGGATGGTCCATCTTTATAGAGAGAGAAAGACAGTGCATTGAGTTCATTCTGTCACCATGCTCTCTTTTCCCTCATTCTTTTTTCATCAACCCATCCCCCTTTCTTGCGGATTAGAATTCATTAGCAATCAAAGAGCCTCTGTAGAACTCCTGCTCTTAATTACCCACTCATTTGCATTTTTGCATATTAATGACTGCAGACTTTGCTGCCGCAGTGGAGGGGAGAGAGGGCTTAAAGCGACCTCGTCTTGTTTGTCTCGGAGAAAATGGCCGCGGGGCAAATACCCAGCATCCCTTCCGAAATCCAGCCACACTGCATTATTACAACCACCACTACGTGGACGAATCAAATTGGATGAGCTTTTATAGACGGGACATATGATGGCCCCAGACTACAGCAGTTTGTTGTAGAAGGGGGGCAGTGTGAGATGGGGGGGGGCTGTTTGTTTAATTAAGGCTGCTGCCGACAATCAGAAAATACAGTGCGGTCCCAGCTCAAGCCATTGCAGCGGTCTGTCCATAAAGGGGAATTCCATTGAGGCTTAACTTTTTTTTGCATGATTAAATGGTTAAGATAGAAACAAAGTCAGTCAGAGTGGTTTGATGTGAGATGCTCTGTTCTAGAGAAACTTACCGAGTCAGAATCGGTCACAGTGGTGGTGATAGGAACCAGATGTCCAAATGCTTTTATATTGCCTCTAAAAGGTACCTCACATAAAGCTATTACATGAAATGGAGACATAGTTTTACAATAGTATTGACCTGAAAACATTTAGATTTTTAAGTTCATTATGGAGGACAGATACATGCAGGGTGTTATAAGGTAAAATAGTTCCCAAAGATTTTTTTTTTCAGATTTACCACTATTTTACCAACATTATTAATATTACATATAAAACTCCATCCCAAAACATCACTGTAGCACTATCTAGGTTGGTTTCTCTACAGTGAACCATTTCACATCAAACCACTCTGAATGACTCTGAATGTTTACATCTCAGCGATTGAATTATAAACAAACTTTGGGAATTCAGTGGATTTCTTCTCTAAAATAAGTTCTTAAATGATCCTTTGCTTGGGCGTACAAATCTTGGAGAAACGTTTAATGGACGATAAATGCTTTCTTTCAACTGTTGTGTTGAACAAGCTTTACAGAATTTTGGCAAAAATTCCATGTAACCTAAAGAATTCAGGTTGGAATTACATTTATTGCACAGGTTAAGGTTTGTGTTTAATGCTACACTACCAAGCTTTACTATGTTACAATTTGTTACCATACTAATATAAACTATGCTATGATCTTTCATACCAATATAAAAAAAAAATCATTCAAACTTAGTACCACATTCTAAATATTCCCATTCCGACAAAAATTCATTAAGCTGAATGGAATTTTTTGCCAATGTTCTGTAAAGCTTGTCCAACCTCACAATGCTATGAAGGAACATATTTGTGGGAGGAGCATAGATAGGCCAATAATGAAGCTTTTACATTATATGCACTCTTAAAAACAAAGGTTCCTAAATGGTTCTTGTCTTGTATTGTTCTAGGAAAAAACATTTAATTGGTATATGCTTTTAGCCAAAGGAGCAAATAGTACCAACAAAAGGTTCTATGACTTGTAACAGTAATGGTGCTTTTGGTGCTACATAGAACCATAATAAAAGTTCTTTAAAGAACCTTAAACAACTGGTCTTTCTTTTAAGATCTATTTAACCATGCAAAGAACCATTTACACAATCAATTGGTTCTTTGAGTAGTCAATGTTCTATAGACAACCTTTGCCTCTACTAAAGAACTCTTGAAGAACCTAAGGGTGCAGAATCTTTATTTTATGTGAAGGCTCTTCAAACATTTGAAAAGTTCTTCCCTCTCACACATTTCATTTACAAATAGTTACTTAAAGAGCCATTCATTGAAAGGTTTTGTAGGGAACCAAAAGGGGTTCTTCTACATACACCAAAAAGATGGCTCTTCAAAGGTCCTTCAGTAAAGAAAATGGTCCTATATAGAACCATGAACACTCAAAGAACTCTGCATGATTGAAGGGTTCTTTCATCGTGAAATGGTTCTTCAGATTGATGGAGAATGTGCTGTAGGTGGTTCTATATAGAACTTTTTTAAAAATCGTTCTGTATAGCATTAAAAGGGTTCTTTGATTGTTACAAGATTGACATCATAATGAAATAACACTTTTTGGTGCTATATAGAACCGTTTACAACCCATTTCCCTTCAATCTGAAGAACCATTTCACCATGCAAAGAACACTTTAATCATGCAAAGGGGTCTTTGAGTGTTCATGGTTCTATATAGAACCATTTTCTTTACTAAAAAAACCTTCAAGAACCATCTTTTTTTTTTTGGTATGTATGGTATGGCTCCAAAGAACCCTTTTTAGCACCTTGAAGAGTGTAAACGGCAATCGCGGTGATGTCAGGAAGAAAAAGAAGACAATAAATGTCCCATGAAGATCACTGAGACAAAATGCTTTAAGACAAAACATTCTCAGATGGAAACTGTGATCATATAAAACAAGCTACAACTCAGTGATCAGATTACACATCATGGCTCACTGACGGAGAATCTAGTCTGGAATGTACAAAGTTATTTAGACTAGGATTACTAATCCAGGATCATATTCCTCCTTTGTTTATGTTAATGTTAGTCACAAACAATGTTATTGTCACAAAGACTGATCCTGGTTTACTACTCATAGACTATCAGTACCAACCCTGGTTTAACCACAAAACGTTCCTAAGAACTGCCCAGTATAAGAGCACATGAACAGCTGACCAGGGCCTCAGTGACCACAGTAGATCTCTGAATACATCAAAACCTCAAAATCACTTTGGATTAAACGCTTTGCTGCCGACCTCAGATGTAGCTTTCGCCCCCTGCTGGCTGAATATTGGAACTGCAATTGTCCAAAGGTATACGTTTACCTTCGGCAGGGAGAAGATGGACAAGTCACTTTAACCCTTAGAATCAGAGACAATAGCTCGTCTGTTGGTGCACAGTTCATGTTGGTCATCATCTAGGCCTTCATCAGTGGCCACAGGGCGCTGCCCACAGGACGCTGTTGGCTGGGTATTTCTGGTTGGTAGACTATTCTCCGTCCAGCAGTGGCACTGAGGTGTTTAAAAACTCCAGCAGCACTGCTGTCATCCACTCGTCCCAGCGCAACACACACTAACACACCACCATGTCACTGTCACTGCAGTGCTGAGAATGATCCACCACCCAAATAATACCTGCTCTGTGGTGGTCCTGACCATTGAAGAACAAGGTAAAAGAGATTTACCAAGGCATGCAGAGGAACAGATGGCCTGCGGTCTGTAATTTTAGAACTACAAAGTGCTCCTATATGGTAAATGGAGCTGATAAAATGAGAGTACAGGGAATAGAAGGAATATATTAATGTCTTTCTGAAGGCTCAGGTGCATGAAATGTTCTATGCCTGACACAATGACCTTGCTACCTGATAGAGACTGATACAATACCTAACTTAAAGGAGGTTCAATTGCAATGTAAGTTGCAACTACCTTGTACTGACATAAATCCCAGCCACACCAATGCATCTGAAACACTTGTATGAGTAACAACTACCATATCGGTGTCAATGCTGTGCTGAGAATGCTTGACCACCCAATTAATATCCTGTCAGCAATGGTTCTATAATGGCCTCCTTCCATTTATAAGGATGCCTACACAAACAATCTGCCTTATCCCAATAACAAAATCTTGTGAATTTGACTATAAAGTGGGGAGCTATGACTGAGGAGACTCTTCAGTTAGATTATCCCTCAATAGAGCTTAAAAACACTGAGATAAATAACTGGCTTGTCACATTGATTTATCAGTCTGCTCAAACTTTAGCAGGAACTTCAGTGTTTGTAAAGAAGGCATCTGATGAATTCCTCTTCAGAGCCCATCTAATGAATATGTTTGCTACATGCCATTCGTTGATTTAAAATGAGTTAATAAACAATCATTGATGGTGTTTCCTTGATTGTATTTTTGAATTTAATGAATAAGTACAATGTAAAAGGTAACTATATTCTGAATACTTTTTTTGAAAATGTAACAGACCACAGATACTTAATTTCTGCATTTTGAACATGCATTCCATAACATTCCAACCCTGACTGAACTATGAATTAATCAACTGTACTCACATAGTTGGGCAATGTTTTGTCAGTTTACACAAAGTAAAACTAATGATATAATCAGGGCTTAACAGGCCAACTTTGCAATTTACTTGACATTTTAGAGTTACTCTTTTAGGCTCTTTAAAATGTGTTTATTGTCATTAGCTATTAGCTGTTATTTCTATGCTTCATGAAAATTCCTCTCAATGTTAGAACACAATTTTGGAATGCAAAGTGCTGAGCAAAATGCTACATCAAAGGCTAATCTGTATACCAAACTAGTAACTGTGACATTAGACTATTATGCTATCAAAATTGCCTTTGCCCTATCTTCATCCCACATTGGAAAACCAGTCACAATAGAAAAGTACAAAGAAAACCTACAAATCACAAGAGTTTTTTTTTTATTTGAGATAAAGGCTGAATGCCACATACAATCGTTTCTGGTTCATGTCAATGGCAAAAAAGACTAAAGAACAACTCAAATCATCATGACTGCCTGATACAACAGTGACTGAGGTGAACATTTTATCCTTATACTGTATATATATTAACTGTAGCACATGACCTAGGCCCAGATAAAGGCATATCTCTATATAATTATTTATTTAATATAAGATTCACCTGAGAGGCCTTAAATCGATAATAATGTGTGTGTGTCTGCATGCATATAACATAGATGTGAAAATATACTTGTGGCAGTTCTGTATGTTTTTGCATGAGCAGGATACAGTGTAAAACTGCTAAGTTATCTTTCACTGGGACAGCGTATGCATCCAGGATGTGGGCGCATATACAGATCACTCTGTAAATGAGAACTGTGTGCAAAAATGTGGCAGGGTGACAAACAAGAGAGAGAAGGAAAAGAGAAAGATTGAATCTGTGCATGTGTGTGTTTTAGGGGGAAATTGAAAGAGTTTCTCTCATTCAGTTATTCAGCTGTCCGGGTGGGTGTGCTGGGTTGGTTGAGGCCCATAGTTTTACACAACCAGCCTGCAAAGTCCACCTCTTCCACCTCTGAGCGCTTAATAAACGTGTGGTTCTGTGAAGAGAAGTAAAACATCTGTCACCACTGATGTGAAGAACACTTTGTCAAAGTGGTCAGTCTAAGCGTAAATGAAAGCAGAGGCTGTGCATTGTTGACTTAAGAGATTTAAGGGGTGTTGAGATTTATTGTTTTGATAAAACTACCCAAATATGACAAAATACCCAATATGATAAAATACTTAATTTTAGTATTAGCAATAATCTCAAAGACAATATTTCTTCTACCAAAAAAATGTAGTTTGTCAGACATGGGCTATGGCGTGGTTTTCTATGAACAACTTTCTATGAAGGGTGCATCAAAAGGCAATTCCACCACTTTTTCAAAATGTTTGCATGGAAGATGGAAGAGTCGTACAGAGTGTTTTGAAATTAAATGCTCTGTGTTAGAGCAACTTACCAAGTCAGATTTGTTCACAGAGGGAGATTCACTCAAAAGAGGCCCCAAAAAATCTGTTGCAACTCCTGTTAGGATGAAGCAATCTGAACCAATAAATACGCTACATACCTTGACGTATGTGTAATCGATTGCATTACATGCAATGCTGGAAGTGCTCTCCGTTTTCTGCCAGACACATGAAAGGGTATGGGGGTAAGCACCCAGAAGTTGCAAACGGAGGTTAAATGTCGCAACAGCTGACCGGCGCCTACCTCATCGCTCCGATGCAGGGGCATCCCGGCTTGTTCAAAGCTCCATATACTGAGGAGCACATTGCATGTTGTTTTGTTCAGATTGCTTCGTCCTAGTGAGAGTTATAACAGAATATTCGGGGCCTCTTTTGAGTGAATCTCCCTGTAGAAACCAAACATCTGAAGCGTTTGTCTTTGTGTGTTTATATGCGTTTGTGTTTATATGTTATGTTTATGAATACAGTATGTAATGCCGTGTATATCCAGTATTTTGCAATGGCTTTTAAACATCCCTCAGATTTTTACCAGAACTCTATTTTATAATCTACATTTTGCCAGTGCAACCACACATACAGCAAAGAGTGGCAAAAATACTCACCATCAGCATCTTCAGATCTGCCCTATCTGCAGGATTTTTGATGAGACTACAGAAACCAGACAGACATTGAGAAAAGCTCAAAAACATGCTTTAATTCGTACCTCAAACCATTAGTCAAAAAACTACAACACTATGCTTAAGCAAAATGGTTTCTTATTGGTTTCTCCAGCATAGTGATTCTTAAACTGGTCTTCAGGGACCCCAGGGAGTTAGAGCAAATATCTGGCTGTCAGGTCCAGAACCACTGAGAACCACTGCTCTGGCAAATATATTCAACCACACACAGCTAAAATGAACAAGTAAAAATGATATTCACCATTTGGTCACAAAGTCCTGGAAGTCTGAAGTGAAGACTCCATGAGGCAGTTTTGGTGGAGGCTATAAACAGAAAGATCGACAAACAGACACTAAATATATTTACAAATATAGGATTAAAAAAAAACTAAACAATTCAACAGTTGTACATTTATGAGGAACCAAAGACTAAGCTCAGCAAATCTCACCTCATTGACTATGTAGTCCAGCAACTCAAATATAGCCATGGCTGGTCCATGCCCTACAGGAACAAAAAATGCATTTCATAAAACATTAAAAGAATTAGCTGATGGTGAAGAAACTACACACGCACGGTATGCCAACGGAAAAAATTAGAAGTGGCTAGCCAACTGATCAAACCACCAAGATTAAGATCTAAGATTGAGACCTTTAAATGCTTCCAAAAAGCATTTTATTTTAATATTAGTGTACTTTAGAAGTTTGTCAAATCTTATGCACATTCAACGAACAGCATTAAACTGTGTTAGCAAATGCTGACATTAACTGGTCATTTTAGAAATGCAGTAATAGTAGTAAAACAGCCTGTACTGATTCTAAAATACAGAACTCCCAAATAAAAGCTCTTTTACTATGACTCGTTGAAAAAGAAAAAAAAATCATAAGCTATCCTCAGCTATGAGGTGCACTGTACCGCTGACAGGTCTCCCTGGAGGTCGAGGTCGTGGTGACGTGCTCTGCGTTCCTCCCTCCTCTACGTTCATCGTCGACCGCCCGAAAATGGCCTCCAGCTCCTTGGCATCGGGGGGAGGGATGGGGTAGCGGCCAATTGACAGCTCCACCAGAGACAGCCCCATACTCCACACATCCGACTGCACTGAATAATGAGTGCCCTGCAGTCTCTCCGGCTTGGGAGGAGAAACAAACACAGACATTGCACATGATTATTATATACCATCCAGAGATGGGGTAGAATATTTGACTATTTTATTATTTGCTCACAGCTAGATTTGATGGATAATCCTAAAACTAGAGGTGCAGAATCAAACTGTGATGTTAGCACTGACTACTGGGTACATGCCATTTTGTGTCTAACAAATTATTTTTATTTTCAAATTATTTTATGCACAACCCTATTATCATCAGACCTACAATTAACTGTAAACAATTAACTTAAACAAGAAGTTTCTAGTGGCCACAAACAGCACAGAAGGGAGCAAAAGACTGACTTACCGACATATATGACCTTGTGCCTACAAAAGAGTTAGCCATGGAGTCAATGAGCTGGCCACTCACTCCAAAATCACACAGCTTGATCTCCCCTCGTGAATTCACCAGTATGTTTGAAGGTTTGACATCTGCAGTTGTGAAAATAAGCACATTTTCAGGTAAATGCTGAATGGAAGCATCAGTAACGAAAATAATAACAAAATGAGGGAGACTGGAAATGTTCTGCAGTGAAGAAGTGTGTGCTGGTTTTAATAGAGAAGAATATTCTGTTTAGGTTTTACATTATGTCCTGTTACCTCTGTGCATGATTTGGTGCTTTTCTCGAAGGTAAGCAAGACCTCTTAAAACCTTTAGTATAACAAGAGACAGTAAGAGATCAATTTTACTCACACATGCACACAAGCCTAAATGTGTTATTCGAAACCCAAACATTTACAATACCATACCCTAAATACTTACAGCTATACTGACTTTGCCCAGGATTTCTTCTGGAATTCTCCGAGCCTCTTTTAGTACCTGATCCAAGGAGCCTCCATCCTGTGGCCAGAAACACATAATCTGTAATTCTTGCCTCACGATCTCCATCCCTCCATCCAAAACATTCCCTGACTCACTCACTCTGTGGGCATAACTGAAAGTGCTGCCAAAACCATTCTATGTTCTTGCTCGATGGAACAGATAGCACCCCTGCAGCTTCATCTTGCAAGCTCTTACACAATGCATTCAATCCAGCATTCTTCCTTATCTCATGATCACAAAGTTTCCTCAAGTTTGAGAATATTAGCAGTACTTTCAAAGACACGCTGTTTAGGGGGTTTACACTACTAACAGCTCCACTGGCTTAGCACAAATAGATAGGCTCTTACTAGCTTTTGTTCAGTACTATCAAATTCAGGCCCTTAATTGTGAGGGAAGCCAGGAAGGTGTGGATTTACTCAAGTGCTTTCAAGTGAATGGTAGAACTGTCTCGCTCCCAAAATCTTAACTGAATAGTTTAACAGATTCTAGCTTATGGGCTCACCATGTGCTCCATACAGATACTGATTTCTCCATCGCTGTAGAAGGCTCCATAAAAGCCCACTATATAGGGAGAGTTACACTCATGCAGGACTTGCAGTTCTCTAATGATCTGGTTCCTGATTGCTGGCTTGATCTCAAGATGAATCAGCTAAATGGAGGATAGAAAACATTTCTTAAAAAAACATTTCTATCGTAAAGTTTCTATTATTTTCAGCTGTACAACAACACAGACCGTGATAAGCAGAACAAAAAGGTAAAGAGAATCAAAACAATACCAGAAACACTAAGATAAAGATCATGAAGTAATACATTTGAATGTCACTCGTGTTGTGAGTAGAAATTTTTCCACCAGGCAGTGCAATACGGTACAGTGCGGTTACGAATCTGAACCCAGAACTACCTGTACCCTGGTTGAGTACCTGCGCATTTTCCATCGCACGACAGAACCAGGAAAGACAGCTTAAGTGATGACTGCATTTGACCAATCAGTGGTCTGCACAATTTCAAGCTTAGTACCCAGGCAAGAACGATAAACAAATTCAGCAGGGGTAGTACAATTCAGATGGCAATAGAAATGACCATAAAATGCACAATCACAGGTTAGCAACAGTACCATACTGCACTGCCCAGTGGAAAAACGTCACGTGAACTGCCGGTAACACCATCTATGTGATTTAATAGTAGAGGTGGGCAATGTGGCAAAAATATCACCACAATATTTGAAAACACTTGAAGCATCACAATATTTCCAAATGTTCAATCAAGCAAAATAGTACTGTTGCGTGTTAAAAATGCTCACCTTTCTGGCCATGATCAGTCCAGAGGGCTTGTGGCAGACTTTATTAACCACACCACCATTTCCTGCTCCTAGCTCACAGATGCGCTGAAAGTCATCGTCCTTTAACTCTCCTACTTTGGCTTTCTGCGTGAGGAAGGCCTCCAGACGCTTCTTCTGCTGCTCATCCAAGTCAAGTTCCTCTAGTTTCTTCTGAAGAGCCTCTAGGTTTGCTCTGACAAGGAGAGACAGTAATTGTAGGCCAGAAATCCAGACCTATTAACACTTCAACAAAGATTTTTTTAGTAGCCAAAGCAATTCACATCCATTAGATGCAACTATTAATCAAACATAACTAGATGAGAACTTACTCTGATGCAGCACCTATATTTGAGCCTGTGGTCTGTGCTTCTCCAGTGCCGCCTATGACTATGGGTCCTGGTCTTTTTTTGGGGGCCATGTTCAACTTAACTATCCGGACAAGAAGTTTTTTTTTTTTAAACCGGCATGCAAATTAGTAGATAAAGTAGCCTTGACGAGCAGAGACTGTGATTGGACACTGACATGGAGCTCACTAAATTCTCATCAGGCCACTGAACATTCAGAGCATAAACACAGTAAAATGAGTTAAAATTCAAAACCGAAGTCTTTGCTATTGTTCCTGAATGCAGCAGCGATTTCTCGCTGATCTGAGGCAGCCCAAGCTGATAATAACTGGCTGTACGGCTCGAGTTAACAGGTGCTCCTGCAAGCTAACTACTTAGTTAATTCGTGTGCTAGCTAGCTAGCTGTTCTAAGTTAGTTACCTCAGTTCACAAAAATGGACGTAATGCTCTATGCAACACGCTCGCACGTAATTAGAAGAAACAAGTGTCAAGAAAGAGGCCTACAATTTCCGAGCTTAAATATGAGCATAACAAGCTAAAGAGCCCAGTTAGCCAAGGCTAACCGAAAAATACAGCAGCATGGGAGCTAGCTAACGCCAACCTACAACTCTTTAACTTAAAATTCACTTACAGAGACTGTAGCTTCTGCCAAGTTACACACAAGGACTGTAAAGCTGAATAAAAACGAATAACCGCGCTTCTCGTCGTCACCTGAAGAGGCTATCTATCCATCAGCTAACGTCAACCTGTATCTCAATGAATCGCATGCAGTTCTTATCAGTTAGCGAACAGTTACTAAAGACGTTAGCTAGCTCTCCTGGACCTTGACAGCACTTCAGGAACAAATAAATATTAATTTCCAAGTTCCTTCCCCACAAAAGCAGCCGCTTACTACGAACGTAGCGTCCCTGAACAAAGTGGGAAAGCGGCTGAGTTTGCTATGTTGTTAGCTTAGCCAACTCCTGGTTGGGCACGGTCTAGGAAGCGAAGTCTTAGATCTCGCGATATTTACTTCTGTCACTTTTTCGAGATTTCGTTATGAAACTTTTTGCACGTTGGTGAACTTCAATATCAGTTCTTGCTACACGGTGAGTCGGACAAGAAGTAAGCCCTGCCCTGGACTACACAGCATTCTGAACAGATAACGCCCTCCTGACCTTTGGATTAAACCTCTGTCCGGGAAACCGACTCATATGTCCAAAAATATCCAGACACCCCCTAAAGAGGGAATCTAGCTAATCTGAGGTGCTGCTATTGCTGACATACACACCTCAAAACGATGGCTCAAGGGTTCTTTAGTAAGCTCAATGGTCCTATTTACAACCATAAATCCTATTCAGAACATCTGAATCATGGTTCTTTAGATTGATGGAGCGTGTGCTGTATATGGTTCTTTATAGAGCCTATTTGAAAATAGTTTTGAAGCACCAAGGGTTCTTCAATTGCTAAGATCTCAAGTTTATTATAGTAGAAGAACCTGTGATATAGAACTAGTTCTCAAAAAGGTTCTGTATAGAACCATATACAACACATTCTTCATCAATCTGAAGAAATATTTAAGCATGAAATGGTTCTATATAAAACCCACACCCCAAAACCTCATTGGGCTGTGGAGCAGAGAAACCATGTTCTCTGGAGTGACAAAGCACCATCCAATACCTTTGGGAAAAGTTGGGGTGGCATTTGTTTGCCATCCAACATCATTATCTGACCTCACTAATGCTTTTGTGGCTGAATGCAACCAAATCCCCACAGGAATGTTCCTAGTGCAAAGCCTTCCCAGAAGAGTAGAGGCTGTTACTGCAACAAAGACAGACAAACTCCCTATTAATACCCTTGATTTCAGGAAAAAAGCGGCTGAGATGTCTACAGATGTTTAGACATGCTGTGTAGATGAATTTGAGTTTTAGTAAGTGCAAGGATAGAGTCTGTCAAATGATGTTTTGCTAAGTGGCAAATATATACATGCTACAATATACATTTACCAAATATGATTTTTACATTCTGAATGGAAAAAGAGGCAAAAGAAGAAATAAATGTTGATAAATGCCCAGTAGACATAAAACAAACCTTTATTCTTCCCATCATATGCAACTGACAGTCTGTGTACATATAAAGAGGCACAAACAACATTCAACATGAGAAAAGACGCTCAGTAACACTGGCAGAAAAAATAAAATTTAAGAAGTAAAAAATGAATTTGCAATTCATCAGCTAAGTGCCCCACTATGCCTTTGGAGATGTGTAGTCTCTCGGTTCATACATGCATTCTTTTGGAGAACATCACCGCTGATCATCATCATCATCATCAGATGAGCACTGTGTTAAGTCCACAACATCTTCTAGCAACACAGGATGACTGTCTACAGAGAAATTGTTTAGCAGAACAACATACAGCAAAAAAGAACATGAAATAATGAATACATAACATCAAAAATCCATTCTGAATTTTACTCTGGACATTTTTGTAACGCATGGAATTGGCACATAAAAATGGCAAAAAGTATGTGGACACTTGAGCGTCACACCTATATGAGTTTGTTGGACATCTCTTTCCACAACTATGGGCATTTATATGGAGTTTACCCACCCACTTAACTATAACAGTCTGGGTAGACTTTCCTCAAGATTTAAGAGTGTGACTGTGGGAGTTTGTGTCCATTCAGTCAAAACAGCATTTGTGGGGTCAGGCACGGGTAGTGGATCAGAAGGCCTGCCTCGCAATCAACGTTTCCATTCATCCCAAAGGTGTTCAGCAGAGTTGAGGTCTGTGCTCGGTTGCATGTGTAAATACCAGTGAATGGCATGGCAATTAGGTTGTCTTCCTATGTGCTAACTTAGCTCTGCGCTCTCAATATTTTTTATTCTCTCTATCATGAAGAACTTACACAGGTGTTCTCTCCTCTTCAAAATCCTAAAAAACACAGGCATATCTTCAACTTCTCATACTGGCTGATAACTTTCAGGGAGGGTTTTCCTTACCTTAAACTATCCTAAGGGAAATGACAGTTAAAAATCTAACGCCTAAGGGGTTATTTAAGGGAAAGTCAATCGTTAAGGGTAAATGTAAGGGTGTATGACGATTTCACTTTAGGAAACTCTTAATTAATACCCTATGGCTTTTGGTGCAACACAGATAACCTTAGGAAATACCTATGGGTAATACCAAAGGAAAATCCAACTTAAAGTGTTTTATGCAACCAGGCACAGGGCTCTGTGCAGGTCACTGGCATTTCTCTACATCAAACTCATCAAACCATGCCTTTATGGACCTCATGTGGGACAGGAAAGGGTCTTCCTCAAACTGTTGCCGCAAAATATATAAAAGCATTTAATTGTCTAAAATGTATTTGTATGCTGTAGCATTAACATTACTCTTCAATGGAACTAAGGGGCCCAGACCATTATCCCTCCTCCGCCAAACTACACATTCCGGTAGGCAGCGTTCTCTTTGCATCCATCAAACCCAGATTCGTCCATCAGACTGCCAGACAGTGATTCATCACTCGAGAGAACGTTTCTAAAGGCCTCAGCGTACTCCTTGTGGAGACGACGTTCGTCTTGCTTCAGCGAACAATATGACCTAACTCTGGAGAAAACGAACCACTGCAGACGTTGTGCGGAGGTTTCGTTCGCCGTGTCGCGCCAATGGCAGCTGGGCGAACTACATGGACGAAGACACTACGCGACAAAGCCTTTGATTGGTCGGTAAAAAAGAGGTGTGCCATTAAACAAAGATGGACAACTTTGAGGAGCTTCAGCTTTGGCAGACACGCTAATATTTCACTGTGAAACGCAGATCTGTTAAATAAATGAATACTTCCTAAATGTAAGATATTAAGTCTACTATTCAGTAGTACTAACTAGTACTAAGACTAAAACATATAGGTTATCTTATATTTAGGTTCACAGGAGGATGAGGCTGAAGTTTGCTTTCTATTCATTCTATTCATTTTTTCAAGTTTTTCCCTGCTCCACCTTAAATGGTGGCAGAATTCTGAACTCAAACCTCACCATAGTTACAACTGTGTTTCGTTTTCCAGCAGTCATGAAACTTATCATAAAATGTCCTAGCGACGTGGAGCATCCGCAACAGGCACCACGAAACCGCACAAAGTGTGTGACGTTGTAAGCCCACAAAGCGCTTTCAGCTTCACACAACCCTCGAGAATTTCGTTTCGCAAGAAGTATGCTGAGGCCTTAACTATGCATTGTGCATAGTGATCTTATGCTGGGATCAGACTACATGAATCCAGCCCGTTTTTGACACAGTTGTATTGTAGCCAACAAACTTCCAGCGTCGGGAACGGTGAACAGTCTGGGGCGCCCCACGACACCTCAACAAGGAGTCTAGCGTGTCCAAATTTTTTTGTATTTTTCTGCTTAGCTTAACATCTCCTACGATGCGTACCTTAACATTAACCAATAGGATGACAGAGTCTGGCGTGCATATGTAAACACTGCAAACACAGGTGAAACACTGCCTGTGTGACGTTTCCTTGAGGGAGGACCATGACAGTGTCCAAAAAGATAAACGCTGGCGAGACATAGCGTTTATAGCATCTGTTTACATATAGCGAACCTGGTAGCTTGCTACATTTACATAATGTCCTTGATATGTTAACACATCTGTTATCTCAAGTTCTCTTTAAAGGATAGTCAGGGAATACTATCCTCTTTGTGACACCCAGGAACAGGTCCACAATCACTTTTTCTTTCTTTCCATTTGCACAAGAATGTAAATGATGTTAAGTTGGCGTCAAACTTGTAGTGTTGCCAGTCTCCCGACCAAGACATGGCACAAATTTATGGCACTATGATTGCCTAATCTGACATATTGACCATTGTGATAGACAAAAATATAGTGTAGTCTGAGCCCAGCATTGGGTTTGTGTGCAGTTACTCCAGTTTCATGAAGCTTCCAAGTTCTTGTGTTGATGTTGATTTCAGAGGCAGTTTGAAACTCTGTAGTGAGTGAACCAACAGAGGATAGCAATTTTTTTACACGCTACACTTTTTAGCACAGGTGAGTTTGTGTGGTCTATCATTTTGTGGCTGAGTTGTTGCTCCTAGATGCTTAAATTTCATGATAATAGCACTTACAGTTGACCGGGGTAGATCTAGCAGAGAAGAAATTTCACAAATTGACTTGTGGCAAAGGTGACATCCTATGACGGTGCCACATTTAAAGATACTGAGCTCTTCAGTACAACCCATTCAACTGCCAATGTTTGTTTATGGAGATTGCATAGCTAGGTGCTTGACTTTATACACTTATGTATAATACTTTTGGCCATATAGTGTATATAGTATGTTTATAATATAGTGTATGGTGTATATTTGAAGCGAGTGTTCTTACTTAGGTTTAGCAGAGAGGGGTCTGGAGTTTTGCTGCTCTCTCTTTCCTCTCTCACTGCTCTCCAGGAGCCATTAGACAGGTACTCAATCTCCTTCACAGCTTCTTCTGTACTCTGAAGGATGCTACTCAGCAAACTACAAAACATCCATCCATCCACAGCAACAAAAACAGCCTGTTTAATTATAAGGGTAAAAAAAGAGGTTGAAAATGGTTATGTAAAAATTAAGTAACTGTTTTGGAACAGAAAATCACACAATTGCCATCAGTTGATATCAAGGGAAAAATATAATACAAATATCTAAAAATATACATCTATACATTTCTTCTTTGTTTCTATTTTTTCACGTTAGTGCAAGTATAGTGTTGATTTAAGACCAAGTTTGTGGTGCTTTCGAAATAACTATGTAATTATGTATACACAGACATAGAAAAGTTGATTTCTTGAAATTTGATAACATCTTGGTTGCACATGTGCCAAAAAGTCATAATTAATTTTTACATGACCGTTTTCCAACTTCTCTTTATGCTTTATGATAGGCTGGTTTTCTTACTGTGCCTATAAGACTGATAAATGTAAATGAGATCTTTTCTGATGGGCTGCCCTATATTTCACATCATTCAAAAAACAGTATGGGTGGGAACAATCCTTATAACTTCAGTGTGAATGGGTGGAGGTAAACTGCTGTACACTGAATGAGAGAATATATGTACATGCATTGTTTTTTCATGACATCACAAAAACAATTAATTTAAGACAGGCTGTTTTT